ACTGAAAGAACTGAGCTGATCTCACAAACATGGCCGACCGTCGTCTGCAGCGGCTTCACGTTACGCGACTTGCGGCCTCTCCTATTATAGTTCCTCCAAGGTTATAGGTTAGGGCTTTTGTTCCTTGAGCATGTCTCTATTTTTTAATCCATCAAAAGTTCTCATGTCTGCTGATGTTTCATGTTTGACAGGTGTCCCTGGTTTTAGTGATGTGCCAGCATCAGAGGTCCAGATGTACTTTTTTTTTTCCTCTCCATTTTTGTTTCCTCTATAGATCTACAGCTGAAAGTAACAGAGATTATATTTTTTGGTTGTTGTTTTTTTTCTGACTGATGTGTATTGTTTTCTTTCCAAATACTCAACAAATTACTGATCATGATATGTTCTGTTTTCAATTTTTCTGTACAGAAAACATGAAAATTCTTGTTGAAAAAGTGCAAAACATGTTGCGAATGGTTTTACGGTAACTTGCATAATTTTTGCATTTTTCTTGCATAATTTGGCCATCTAAATTTGCACAATTCTACGGGGACAGTTGAATTAAGGTATATACATGTATTCACCGTTTACAATTTTAAAAACATTTACAATAAGTCTGGTTGCATTTCTAAGCAATACAGTCCGTGCCGGCTTTAAGCACGCCGACCTTAAGCACGTTTCGGATTCAAGCACGCTAAACGGCTCTTACCGAATTTTTGCTATATAAATTACACGCCTTTAAGCACGGTAACTTCGGCTTCAAGCACGCTTCATTTACAAGACAGTCAATATTTTCATGATGACCCATCGAAGTTTGAACACAGTTTACACCGCAGCAGTGGAGTGTGTCAAAAGAAACACAAAGAACGCAAGTGATGGACACACACACTCACACGGGTGGAGAGGAAGGCAGAGAGGTACACACAGCCGTGCGCGCGGACATAGGATCTAGCCTTGGCCTAGGGCAAAGCTACACACGACCAAAAAAAAAAAATACAAAGAGAGTAGGGGAGACGAGAAAGGGAGGCTGGCTGCGATTTCACCTTTGACCATCGCTATCCATTAATCCTGATTATGCCCTCTCTCTTTAGGTGGGAAAATCATTCTCAGAAAAGGGCCTTACAAGTGACTGAGAGAATAAAGTAGAATGCCTTGTAAACAGAGATTAAGTAATTTCCAAAGGACAATACAAAATCTTTAAACTAGATTCCAGGAAAAGAGGAAATGTTCCAAGAAGGGACTTTACTGAAAACTCATGGAGTTCATCAGGTAAAGAGGAGCCAGCTTTAATTTTAACCCAATTACTGGCAAGTGCCGATCTCGGCACTTTCTTTGACACCAGACTGTTACTGCCGATAACATCGCAGTTTCCAAAAACGGTCTACATGAACCCCGGAAATACCGCCGCTGAACAAAAGTGCACTAATTTTTAATAAGACCTTCTGTAGTTATTACAACTCATCATCAGCAAAACCTTCAAAATTCTTCACGGTTTAGAAATGGGAACATTTCGCCTAATCGAAAGGTTTTTTTAACAAAAACTTTTTAAAAGCCCAGGGATTTTAGCTTTTTCAGTTTACTGCTGTTTTCGGATAAACCTTGTTACGTTTAAGTGGACTCCACTGTATGTTGTTCATCAACAGAGTGCAACAATGACCAACTCGCCCTTTCTATCTGCATATTTTCTTACTTTTTCAGAGTTTTCAGGGGTTCCTCTTTCTTGTCCTTGACTCCTTTACTTTGGTCGACAGTAACCAAAACACATCTGGTGCAGGCATCCAGAGCCCTCAACTGGGCATTTCCAATACGGATAGAGCTCCAGGAGTCCTTAAGTATGCAATCAGAGATAGTAAAAACCATGTAAACAAAAGTGTACTGAGAAAAAACAAACAAACAGAAGAATTTGACCCACAACTATTCCATCTGGGAATAAACTGGAGGTATTCTTACACAAAAAAGTTATTTAGGGCAGTGAAGATTATATACGGTAGTTATAATCTCACCAAAATTGGTACCTTAATTGCCGACAAAGCCACTATCTGATCTCTCAAATGAAAATGAAGGTACTGATCTTGAATGATGAATTGTCGAATTGCAGGGTCCCCACCAAATCCTGGAACATTTTTTCAAGACCCCCAAATTTTTTTCAAGACCCCAATTCGAGGGAAAAATCAGGCCGCTGCGCGTCAAGAATGATCCCAATGATCTGTCAATGATAAAAAGCCAAAATGTCTATAAATGAATGCAAATGTACATTTTGTCTTCAAACAATAGATGACTATAATACTGGGTGACTGCCAACCCAGCTTCTCAATTTTCCAAGGGAGGGGCCTCATCCATTTTCCAGGAACACGTTACATAACAATGAAAGCGTGTGCTCCATTTATATCTAATATAATACATGTATATGTTTGTGAATACACACACACACACACATGTAGGTACATTATATCCAGTCAACAACATGTCAGTGTGGCACTGGGATCTTGAGAGACTTTGGTATTTCAGTCTGTTCTTACTTATATATTTTCCCCTCATCATATTAGCCAACATAACAAACTATAGGCCCTATATAAAAAATGAATCCTGCTTTGAGTCTGAGAAAAGACCTAGAACTAGAATATCGACTGTCAATAACCAGTCAAGGTGTCATGATTCATATATAATAAAACGTGAAGACGAAAACTATTGCTCAAACTCAAAGTAGAGTAATATTAGTAATAACTAGAATGGCTCAAGTACACCTATTCAGTGTGAGAGGTGTAAGAACTGAGGGAGGGCAAGATGCAGTGACACTGAAAATCTGCCAATCTTGAACAGAAAGCTAAAATATAGATATAAATTACAATCACCCCATCCAATGAAACGCGAACACTTTAGTTCAATAACAAGGCATGACGGACCCCCGATTCCACACAAAGCCTGCACCAACGCGTGCTTTGCAGAGAGCTCTAAAGTAGTTATCAAAATGCTAAAAATTTGCTTCCAAGTTCAGTTTTTGTCCTCTAGCGTTGCCTTCAGCTCACCCCCCCCCCCCCCCCAAATCCCTTTCCACGAGTGTATCTTATAAAGGAGTCCTATACTTCACAGCGCTCAGAGCGCCGGTACTCACAGGTTCATTGACCGGTCACGAGGGCAAACCTGTCATGATGCTTGTATTAGTTCTTTTTCTCTTTTTTTTTCCACAAGCGAAAGCAGAGGGCAATCTTTAATTTTGATTTATTTTCAAGGCGACTCAGCGTTCATAATGCATAACCTGCATGTTACAAATGTTGCGTTATCTATCAGACTATTACAGGAAAATTTCTGGGCGGTAACGAAAGCGAAAGTAGATCTTGATTCTTCCTGATCAAGCCTCGGTGTCACACATACACTTCCGTCACAGCGGTTCAATTACGTTTCCTCTTCAGGATTCATCAACCATACAGTCTAGATAGCTACACATTACACAGGCCCTATCCTTTCCCGACTTACCGACCCATCACAAAATTCCCGACTTTTTCCCGACCTCCCGACCCATCTAAAAATTCCCGACTTTTTCCCGATTTCCCGACCTGGTGGGGACCCTGGAATTGGCACAGCTATTATTATGGGCGGGGAAAGCATTTTCCATCTTAGGTAAAAATCCTCCGAGAGGAAAGAGTTTCTTTTTCCATTGCCTGCAGGTTTCCATTTCATAGAGGTAATTATAGAGGAATTGATCAAGGGGGAGCGGGAAGATGCGGTTATGACAGATTTCCATCTTAAAGAGGTCATTGCTGTTAAAGCAGGTTTGATTGTGCATGGTTAGAAATATATATTAAAACAGCTGCCATTTTCTTTAAAAATTGACCGAGAGGTGAAAAAATGTACCAAAATCCCCAGGAGACATAGGCCTGTCACATGGATCAGATAAATTTGTCATACAGCTGGTTTCAGAATTTAGTTTCTTGTACCTGCTTGCTTAGAAAAGTTGTAGCGCCACCAGGCAGCACATTTTCAGCTCTGACTTTTGTTATATTTTTTCTTGCTATTTGGAGTATTTCAGTTACAAATCAACGACATCATCCGATACGCTGATCAAGAACAGTGTACAGCCCTTATTTTGCTTGACCTGAGCAGCACTTGATAACATCGATCAAGACCTTTTATTACAGTGGGAATTAAATTGGCCACAAAACTGTACAGCCCTCTATGAAATTAAAGCATTACAAAGTAAATTATTGACATAATGTCATCATGGTAACTAAGCAGAATTTTTTATTCAATTTACCTCCTCATAAGCACCACAATCATCAACAATTATGTTGGCTCTGAAATTTGTGATTGGTACAGCTGTCTCAAGTCGTGTATTGAGGTCTGCGAGAGATGCATTGGACAAAACCATGTATCCACAGTAATCTGAAAATGCACACTGAAAACAAAATCAAATAAAAATTACATAGCCTCCTTGAAAGAAATATACTGCATACTGATGTAAGTGACAAAAAATATGGTGTACAGAGTTGTATTTAGAAAACTCCCTTAGCAAAACCTCCCTGAGAGGTTAACACAAGACTATTGCTATGTCGTATGACACTGTCAAGAGAACACTTCATTTAGCCCCCACTAAGATAGATTCAATTTTTTAATTATTGATACATTAACAAACAGCATATAACTCTACAGAATGTTCTCTCGAACAGAGTTACTTTTCTATGTGGACTAGACCAGCATCACTGGCATTATCTTTACAAAAGGTATAATCATAAGAACTACTCGCTACAGGTAAAGGTTATGGTCAGATTCTATTAATTCTTAAGAACACATAGCATTACTGCCATACCATATCGCCAGGTTGTGCGGGATGTTGCCACATTTTTTTAGCTTTAGATGCATCCCGCTTTTCCAGGTTTGGAGCTGAGTAATGAAGCCGAAGACCAGTTTTGCTGAAGTAGCGACATAGCCAGTCAGCAACTGCATCCCCCATGTCCACTGATCTGACTGTATCAGTTTTGATACTGTGAATACAGAATAACACCTGAGACAATGTAAAATAGGGTAACCAATAAAAAATGTATGATAAGAACATACTAAAGATGGTTATGCACTCAGTTTGTTCTTCGCATAGCTTCCTTTTCCTTTCCAATCAGCCTGTTAGTATAAACCAAAGCAAATAATTCAAGCAAAATTGTTTTACATCGTACTAAAATCCAGAAGCTGTTTCACAGCAGCCACATGGCATTTCTCAAAGTACTTTTAACATAAATTATTCTGACTGGGGTAACTTCAGTTTTTGGGTAGGAACTAATTTTGAATTTTGCCCGGACGGCGGCCCGGAGGACCTACTCTTTTCAATTTATTTGAGAACCCTCAAGTGATATTTAAAGTGCAAAACTTCCACATGAGACCTCCAAAATGTGTTGCCCGTATCCCAGAAGATTAGGTGTTTGATCTCACCTACCCTAGGATCAGGAGGTTTAGAAGAAAAAAAAACTGACTTTGGCGGAGAACTGAACTCCGGACCTCAAGGTTTACAGGCACACACCATACCTGTTCAGCTATGGAGCCCCCTTCACAAGTAGTGTTCCATAGACAATTTGCAAGGCTTTCGCCACTTCTATACCAAAACCATAGATGGGACTGAGGTTCTCTGAAGAAGACTATATAATAGAAATGGATCTAAATTATCAAAATCTGAAGTAACTTGAATAGGGTACGGTGGATATCACTGAATCAAGAGTTAAAACAAGAAAAAAATTACTTTTATATCAGGCGTGATGGACATTTCATTGATTTAAAAATATACATGTCAGTCAATGTATTTGTATCGCTTAGTACAAAATGCACGTGAAATACAAGAGAAAATTTTATCAAATTTTCACTTGGTTTCAAAAGGCAATATAAAGGGAGACAACTGATGATACTGACGTGACTTTGCTGATATTGCTATCAGTCACTGGAGGATCAGCAGGGAAAGAAATGGGATCCATGCCCGGTGCCATCAACATAATTCTGTCTCCGTTCAGCACAGGCTCAATTAGGGCCATAGTCGGAACTTGTCTTTGTGTAAGATAAACACCATCAGCAGTAGAAACTGTCCAATGCCTTTCAATAGAAAGAAAAGAATGTTAACAAATAATTATTACAAATCTTCTGTATACAAGAAAGAAAGAAGATGGAATGGTGAAAAGGTTCACTCACTTATTAGTTAATCATGACTTGGAATGAGCTTTGTGACAATGAGGCATGGGTGAGGTGGCAAACTATCCATAACTACAAGAGAAATAAGAAAGGCCTTAAACAATACAGCACAAACTAGAATCTAGGAGAAACTAGAGTATACAAAGGGTGGAACAATATAGTGAGGTAGACTCGACCAGTCTTAAAGGCCTATTTAGGTTACAAATTCAGTGCTTGTGATTGTTTATATGACAGTAGCCCGAAAGGGGTGAATGCGGTACTAATGTGACAATGACACAGTACCATTTTGACTTTGTGCACATGATCCCTTCACATCTTTGGGGTAGACTCCACCAGCCTTACTTTAAGCTTACACTTGCATAATCAGTGCTTGTTACTGCTTGTGGAGTGGCCCGAAAGGGGTGAACAGGGTATTTATATATTGCAATGAAACAGTTTTGAACATTAGGCATACTGTTCATTGGTGATTATGAATGTCTATTTACATTTAATTTATGAGGCCTATGTCTATGAGTAAACTTGACTGCAAGACTGCGATGATGTTCCAAAATTAGGAAGAGAAACAGAGATTATTTTATTATATAGACACTTCGCCACTGCTACAAAGAGACCCTGAAAATGTCTCTTTAACATAAATACTTCAACATGAGAGAGCCTAGCTCCTAACAGATCCAGTTGGAGAGCTGCATGCACAGCGGACAGCAAGTCATATGAGGCTTCATGAATAGGAAATGCTGAAACCAAGAGAAAGGCCAGCAGGCTGCGCACGTCCACAGGTATAAGTGGAGCTTTTGGATACTCAAAATGTGGAAAACTTTTCTCTCTCAGAATTGGTCTCATCAGCCATAGTAGAAGCTAAAAGTCATCTTTACCTTTATTTCTCCTAATTCTTATATTTTTCTTGAGAATGCATTGCGCTACCTCAGAATGATTAAGTTCCATCTAACATTTTTGGCTATTTTGAGTTACTAAGACCTTGAGGTCAGAAACTTAATATAATAATGTTCTATCTGCTCTATTAAAATCGTAAGATTATTCAGAGTAGTTATCAAGATATTGAAAGAATTGCATTAAAAAAAGCTTGATATGATGTGAAACTCAAATTTTTAAACGTCAAATTTCTCAAAACTAGGTAATGAGCAGATAGAACTTTGTAATTCTTTTCTGAGGTAGCCATTGGCCATTGTCAGACGTTGACGTACAAACTATTATTTTATTATATATATATATATATATATATATATACAATTTTTATTATGTTTTCAATGAAATGATCTTTGAATTCCAAATGGTTTTTAATTTTACGAAAGCGACCCATGCATTTTAAATTCTTTGATGGACCTCGTCAATACAGTCTGCTGTTTTGGAGAGAACGCTATCAACTATCAATGTACTTGCAATTAAAATTGATGGGAGTAGATTTAGTTTCTGATGACAATCTCAACTTTTCTTGCACTGTGGTGTTTAATTGTAATGATACACCAAAATGTCATCAGCAAAATCAAAATCTCCCACATGTGTGCCATTTGTTTATTCAATGCCAGTTTGAATGTCTTTTCCGAGTCACATTACTTGTCTTAGCAGTATTTATTTGAAAAGGCATGAACCAGCAACTTGCCTTGGTATTTAGTGATATTTTACAAATTATTGCTGGAGAGCAGCAGTCACAGTGGGCAGAAAATCATACGAGGCTTCACAAATAAGAAATACTGAAACCAAGAGAGTAGCCCGCATGCTGCGCACATCCACAAGTGCAGGTGGAGCCTGGAGCCTTTAAATCCTCAAAATGTGGCAAACTTTTCTCTGCTAGATTTGGTCTCATCAGCCACAGCAAACGCTATTAAGTCATCGTAACCGTTAAGTCTTCAAATTCTTCTATTCGCTGGAGTAATATTCTCCACAGCGAATGTATTGGTCATTGTCAGACATTGATGGAAGAGGTATTAATATTATTACAAATTACAGTTTATTGTTTTTGCTAAGATGCCATATATTTACACACAAAAATTTCCACTTGCCTTTTTGATCAATGTGAAATATACATGTATTACAGTACATTAATGCAATTTTCTCTCTATTATCTCCTTTGACTTTGCAGTAAATTAATTCCAGATAGTGTAACTCATGCTCCACTGAATCATAATCTCATTCTCATTCATTCATTATTAATCTTTTAACCCCAAGTTTTATCACTGTTTCTGATAATTTTTTCCACACTAACCAAAACCTGGAGCATCTTGTCTCATCATAACCACTCTAGCAATGTAGTATTCAATGAAAACACATAAGTGTTATACCATATTGAAAAAAAATGTGGCAATAAGCTGAAATAAATTTTGGGGAAAAAATGTACACATCTATTTGATCCTGGTGCTGGTTCACCACCTGAACTGACACTTTCTGATCCTGGATCAAGTCCCACATCATTCTCACCACTATCATTGTCACCACTCACGACAGAGTACTCAGTATCATCTGAGAATCAATTGCTACTCAATTCTTAAAATTGAATTCCTTCTAGCAACTGAGATGTCTCATCTAGAGTCAGTTTACTTCTACAAGCCACATCGCCTACATTCTTAAAAAAAGTAACATGATGAAAACAAGGGGGGAGAGCATTTTAATAGTTCTAAAAACACAATCTGGACTTGAAACAACTCCTTGTCATAACTAAAGACCTTGCATCATAAATAGTTTTTTAAAACAAGCAAAAACTTGCACTATATGGACGGAAACAGTAGTCACTGGTATAGGACGCTCCCAGTGTCCAATGAAGAACAGGATCACTACCACCGGACACTCCCACTGTTATTGGGGTTGAAAGAGATAAAATACGTTAATCAAAATTTTAGACAAATATTCACCTGTCAGTAAAACTCCGCCACTGCATTCCTAAAGCAGTGCAATCTGCACTTTGGACACTCAGACCTTTAAAAGACTTGAAGGGATACACCCAAATGGCTCCAACTTTCCCAACATATCGATACTCCTCTTTCTTTTGCTTTGGAAACATGATGCCAGCAGCATACTTCATCGCTGCACCAGCAGCAACTGCTGCAAACAAAGCTGCAGGGGATCCTTGATCAAACACACTCATTGCCACAGCTCCCTGCAGAAATGGAGAAAAAGACAAACTTGTAATGTCACTAATAAAATTATATATAAGAGTATTGCTGGTCTAAACAAAATCTCATAACATTTAGACCTACTCCACTTTTCAGTCCAAACATACCGTATGGAAAACTTAAACACAGTCCCAATGTACACTACTCACTGACCAACATCTACTTTTATAAAAGTAATACAAAAAAAGCTATTTTGGCTATTAATCATTTGTGGCATTAACATGCAAAATAATTTGGTTTTTATACTATTTTCATACACTACTACAGTGGAACTCGGATTCAACGAGAACTCGGATTCAACGAAAGGAGATAGATTCCCCGGTTTTTTTTCTTCTTTAATATCAATAAAAATAACCCGGATTAAACGAGCACTTAAATCAGCGAGCTCGGATTCAACGAGGTCGCTTCCAGGGTGAACAGCCCCCGCAGACGTGGCTTCGCTCATTTTTCTCCCAGAACGAACTTTATCTATTCCCGCAAACCATCCATTGCACCTACATCGTGAACCATTATTCACTTAGCCGATTACATGCGACCAATCAGTGGCCTTTTTTCACACCAACACATGCGTTGTTTGGCACGCGCACGTTTCTACTCTGGCGTCTGTCGGGGTCGGATGGACGGCCTGCACATGTGTGACTGTGTGTGCGTGTCGGGGAGGGCGGGAGGCCACTAGCGGTTCGGGCGTTGAACGTCGCAGATACAAACGCGTCAGTCTTTTTCCCCCTCGGCAACTGATCATTATTACGATGATAAGCTAGTCTTGACTTAGATCTGTGTAATGAATTGTGCGCTGGTCTATGGAATCAAAAGTTGCCGTATGCTAGGCTCTTCCTTCTACACAGCAACACAACTTTTTTGTAAGCAATTGAGATGACACCGGCATGCATTTATTGAATCAAAACGAATCGGTCTTTTTTTTTACACAGCTCATAATATGTAGATATTTCAGGCACTACTTGTGACTTCTCTTTATACATAACTTGCTCACTGCCTGTTATTATATCTACACAAAACCTCGTGTTTGCTATAACGAACACTCGGATTCAACGAGTTTTTAGGTCAGGCCCGGCGACCTCGTTGAATCCGAGTTCCACTGTAATAACTTTTTTACAAGCCTCTGGCCACATGTATGAAGATCAACAAACCACATAAATGGACTCTTTAGAGAATTCCAATATACCCAGATCAATCAATGACCTGATTAAGGACTGTTAAAGCCTCACCCCATTTTTCATGAAAAGGGAGGAAGCCTTTTCTTGGAGTGATAGGATTAGGAACTCGTAGGAAAAGGAGAAGGTAAACAAACAAAATACTGAATATCCTAACCCAAAACTCCATGAACTCCTGGATTCCTTTAAATCTACTGCTCAAACACTCCAAGACTATCTGATTTCAAAACAATACTCTTGATGTAATGACTAAACTTCTCTAGTTCGAGAAAAGATGGTGAATGACAAAGTCGCAGCCAGAGAGTAATCATAGATGGTACAGTCAGCATAATACAGTAGTCTCCACCTAAGATCTGTTTATAATATCACCCCTTAACATCCCGCTCTGAAGGCCGACATTCAGCTAAGATCCTGCATTCCAGATCACAATTTATGGAACAAAAACTTTTGTGGGTGCTGCTGATCAACCAGGCAGTGAAAAATCACAATCATCGTACTGCCCGTTGCGCCACAGATTTCACTCTCGTGAATGAAATCACAGCTCCATTGTAAATCTCGATGAGAAGGTATAATGTTTATCCCCAGATAGTGTGAACTCGTTGACATATATTGTTTCCAATGCGAGCAGGTCTCTGAGAAAGCCGTACTTCCAGGTTGTATCGAAGGCTTTTTTTAGGTAAAAAAGATGGCAATCATGTGGCTTCCTTCGGCAAACGTCTCACGTATAAAGGTCTCCAGGTGGACCAGGTGATCCAGAGTGGATCATGTTTTTCTGAATCCGCACTGGAGACAGCTCAGCGAGCCCATCGTCTCCAGAAACCACATGAGTCGCCTATGAATAATTTTTTCTATAAAGTTTGCACAGAGACAGCTCGTCAGTGCTATTGGTCTGTAATTGGATGGGTGTGTGTGTGGTATTTGTTTGGTTTGGGTATTGGAATGACAGTGGCGAGACGCCAAGACTCCGGAAAGGAGTGCGAGTATGACTGCCAAATGTCGTTGTATGTCTAGTAGGAGTGTAAGTGTTTCTGAGGGTAAGTGTCTAAAGATCTGGTTGTGGATGTCATCCGGACCCGGGGCTGTATTATTAGTTTGTCTAATGTGAAGTCTGCATTGTAGATATCAGTGTTCTTGGAGTGGAAGTTTAGGTGTTGTTGTTCTCTGTTAGTTTTAATGTTACGGAAGGTGGTGTTGTAGTTTGCTTGGGGGATTAGTTTTTGGGGAGAGACGTAGCTGTTGTGTTTGCGATTTCTACCTGTGTTTCAGCTGTGGTTCCATCCCGCCTCTGGATGTGCCCAATGGTGTCTGTGCGTCTTCCCAAATTCTTTTTTTGCGATTTTAAAAACTTGGTTGAGCGGTGTTTGGCGGTTGATTTTGGAGAGATGTATTTTCTGAATGATGTGTTGTCAATGAAAATGTCCAATTTAATGTGTATCCATTCCTGTATATAACAATGATGACATGTTCTGTGCACTGCGTCATTGTTACAAAGCTTGTCATTCATATTACCATTATGAATGGAGTTCATAGTGTACAAAGTCTTTGTTTATTAAACAAATGGAATTTAAAGTCCATAATTTGCCTTGCTGCTTATCTGTTTTTGTCATCACTGTTATACAAGAAACACAGTAGTTGCCAAACCAATAGACCCATATCTCCAAAACCCTACATCTCCTTGCTCTGATACTCTAGGAATATGAGCACGTCTAAATGTCAATCTGTGACTGACAGAAAAGAGAGTCAAATTGGTAAGAAAATTGTTTTTGCACCACTGAGTCTCAAGAGAGTCTCACGTTTTGGCAATTGCTCATAGATCTATATATATATACCAAAGTCGGTGTCGCATTCGGATCCCAGAGAGTTGGGGTCCTTGTGCAACACCTCGTCAATGAACGGGTTACACCTCCTACAGACGAGGCAGTGGGTCTATTTATAGGAAGAGCCTAGCCGTACTTAATGACGGCTAGACTGGCAGTCTAGCCGTACTTAAGTACGGCTAGACTGGCAGTCTAGCTTATTCTTAATATGATGGCTAGACTGACCAATTACAAAAAATAGGCCTACTGAATTGTAAATACATTTTTATTGTGCAGGACCTAAAGCATTTGTATTTGAGATGAAACCAGGTGCCTTAATGACAGTGTATGTATTTTAAACCTCCTGTTTTCTAATGTTAATAGGGCCTAAGATAAGTACGGCTAGACTTCTTGTCTAGCCGTACTTAAGTACGGGTAGACAGCCAGGCTAGCCGTACTTAAGTACGGCTAGACTGTCAGGCTAGCCGTACTTAATATTGATGGCTGAATTGTAAATGAAATTTTTAGTTTGCTATGCCTAAATTATTTGTATTTCAGACAAAACCAAAAGGTGCCTTACAGGCTTGCGTGTATTTGAACCTGAATAATTGCTAGATATAGATCTAATAAGACCTGTGTACTTAACAGTAACAGGCTTGTCGATAGGGCCAAACCTAGATCTAGCACCAACGCATTTAGGGAGAATTTAGTGATTTACCGGCGCTTTTTCGGTAGTCCCCACCCCGCAATTTTATTAACGGGTTTGGGCCACAAGAGTAGGGGGGTTTCAGCTGACCTAATAAAAATAGGAAGGGGGGTTTCAGGGGGGGGGGGGGGGGGCATGCCCCCCTGAATTTTACCATAATTTAATATTTTGCAGTTGTTAGGTTTGATATCTTAGCTCACCGCGAATCAAACGTATAGATCTAGATCTAAATCTAGATATATCTAGATGTAGATCTAGGTCAGGCTCAAATAAGGGGGGTGGGAATACCGAAAAAGCACCGATTTACCTGGCTGGTTACTCTACCTAGATTCTAGATCTAGAATAGATCTAGATTAGAACTTTGATCCCGCGTCTCTTTCCAAGCCCCGGTGTTACATCCAACAATCTCTTGCTTTTGTCAAGTCCTTTATGACTTCCTCAGTCTGGTCCTGGTCACAGGTGTAGTATTAATATGCCCAGTGCCTAGGCTAGGGCGAGGGTTGTAGAGTAGGCCTTTCCTAGTTCCTAGGTAGTTCTAGAATCAAGCCTAGCCTATACTTTTGTACCAACTTGTACTTGTCAGAGCTGGGTGAAGAATCGATCCCGGAACCGATCCAAAGATTGTACACACACACATACATGATGTAGGCCTACATCACAGAATTCTGTGGCCTACATGTAACAAACTCGGCCAAAAAAAGTATCCGCGGAAGTCCGCGCATTTGGCTCAGTTTTGAAGCTCTGGCCAAAAACAGCACCTGGATGGACATGGATTTCCGGTTCATCTATAAATTATTGATGGTCACAGAATTCGAATTCTGTCAAGGAGTTTAGAACTAATACTAATAGAGCCTCCTCTCTCTCTTCGCGGCGCCACGAGAGGTACGCCGCGGTGGGAATCAAATATAGCCGCCGACTGTGGGCTAAATCACCAACTGTAGCGTTTATTTTTATAGAATCTTATCGGGCTGGGCCACGTTGTGGGGGTGGGCGGGGTGGGGGAATGCACGCAAGGAAGAGGGGATGGGGCTGGCTGGGATGAAAGAGAAGGGGCGGGCCTTGGGAAGGGACGAAGGAGAATGGGGGAAATTAGATGAGAGAGAGAGAGAGAGAGAGAGAGAGAGAGAGAGAGAGAGAGAGAGAGAGAGAGAGAGAGAGAGAGAGAGAGAGAGAGAGAGAGAGAGAGAGAGAGAGAGAGAGATTGTGATCAACTGACGGGCTGACGGATCATGACAGGGAGTAAAAATAAAATAAATTCTGTGTGTGATACTGACTGTTCAATTCTATAAGAGTTTTATGTTTTAATCTAGTTTAAAAATCAAAAAGGAGTGTAAAATAAGAAGAAAACTTGTCCGAGTAACATAAAATTATCAAACATACCAAATTATAAAGATAATCTTTCAAGATGCTAAAATATTTAATTTTAAGAAATGGATAAAAAATATACTTTAAAACTGAATTTAAGATACGATTGCATGATTCTAGGCGTGTGCCATAACTAACTTTACGTGTAAGGAATAGCGGACACAAAAGAGGGTCGATGCCTGCTTTATCTGATTGCTAACAGTACAGTATGTCTTGGTCTATAAATAATTATATTGTTGATTACAATAATTTTGTTTCCTGGTTTTCACAAAATGGAACTCACAAAGATTTCAAATATTAAAAAAATAGATAACAGCACCTTTGGAGGTGTGATCGCATGCATGAGCGTGGATGACCTTTGAAGGTTTTTTTTTGTTTTGTTTAGTAAAATATGATATGGAGAGCTCTCGTTTTTAGTCCCTTATTACACCCCTGAGGGCGATAATTCATCGTGATGACTCTTGTGTATTAAAATTTGTTGTTGCTTTGTTTGGTTTATTTTTTAACAGCAGAATCTTAAGTGAACCGGAATTATTGATTGTGGGATCTTAGGTGCAGACTACAACAATAGAATTAGAATTAAACCGAGTATAGTTCTATCTAACAAGACTCAAACTCTTATCCACCCCACCCTACCCTCTCCCCTCATCTGATATGGTTTGGTGTTTCTTTAACATAGAAAATATTCATCATTATTGTTGTTGAGTATTGATTTCATATTATCTAATGGAACCTCTAGATATCTAGAATCTACATTTAGACAACAGTAGCATCTAATTTGCACACACAATGGAAAGCAATATCTTTAATTAAAATGTATAATATGCATATACATACACACACATAATAATTATATATATATATATATATATATATACATAATCATTATATATATATTTATAAATAAGAATACTTTTTTTAAAAATTGAGTATCTCGGTCTTTCTGCTGGGGTGTTGTATCCCTTTCAGCCTAGGTTGGCCTTGGCAAGTAGCGCCGGAGCCAGCCTCTTATGAATATTAATGATCTAAATTGTGTTGCTGGGGGCATAAAAACACTTTCATTCAAATTTATAAAAAGGAAAACAACTTCTTAACTGTGAAAACTTCGGTCCACTGCAGCATCATATCGGTTCTTACACTTAGATACAACGCAGGTGCAAGGCATTTTTACTAATTGACTTGCCTAATCTCAAGGACCTCGGAATAAAACCTTCTTTCTTATCTAGATTTCAGTGCGTGAGCCGAGCATTCGCGCAGCGCAGGTAGCCCACAGTTCCGCCGCGAGAGAGGGCTCCTATCAGGCGTGCGGTGCCGCCCACAGAGCATCCTCCATTACTTTCAATATCCTTGGTTGATGGTCAAGGCAGAGAGTATTTAATATATTTTAGTGTCTCTGGTCAAGGTTTTGAAGCTCTCTTCCGTTTCACCAGAAGAAGAATAGGAAGAAATAGCAGCACCCCCTTATATGCGCATCAGCTGTTCCGGTTCGCTCCTTGCGGAGTTTTGGGTTCGATAGAAATTTTCGATAGAATCTAGATCTAGTACGCCTGCTCTACGATTTTATGCTGGGTCTGGAAATACAGTGGAAACCATAATTATATAACAGGCCCGTTAATAATAGGGATCCGGAAATAACAAAATTGTTTAAATCCCCGTTTTTTTCCTACTCTGTCTCTAGATCTATTAAAAGTTATCGGCAATGACAGGGCCTCATCGGAGCCCAATCGGATAGATCTAGCTCATTCGCTACGCCGAGCCGTGGGGGGCGGCGCGGCTCAAGTGCCGTCAGTACGTTAAGCCGCCCCCGGCGGCTCGAGAACCGACGTTCAA